CAACTCGCAACGCACCGTGGGACCGCGCTGGGGGCTTCCGAGGCTGTGAGTCGACGGGGTCGGACGCCTCTCCTGCCGCCCTGGAAGGAGCGGGTGAGTTTGAACTGCTGGCCTTGCCGTTAGCGCCGACGGCACCAGGGCTCCCGCCACCATCCACGCCGGGGGGGATAATCCCCGCCTTCCAGACGCTTCCTGAGATTTGAGCAAGCATCACATTAAGTACGAATGGGGCCCTGCAGCCGCTCCCCAGCACGTGGCCATTTCCCGCCACTCGTGGTCACCCCAAAAGAAAGCCGCCGCTGTGGACTGGATCCCTCTCTTCCTAGGCCGTAAATGCTGACGAGCAGATAGCCTATTTCTACCATTCTTTTTCTTAAGTGCACACTTAGACGTTATGGCTTAAGACACACCCCCCCCCAAAAAAAAAAAAAAAGGTTTGTCTTGTTGAGCTACATAAACTAGCTTCTTCATTCTGCAGTCGAACCTAACCTATGGGCTGGGCTCCTCCCTTCCACCTGGTTCCCTCCTGGTGCAGAAATGGGGGCCAGGTGCAATTGCAAGTGGGCTTGTCTGGAGGCTCTTCTCTTAATCCGATTGCTTCCCCGTAGCACCTAATTAGTGTGTTTGGGTTCTTTATTTTGTTCATCTACTGTTGACTAGAAAGGTTAGGATGGGCGTGGCCCCAGGCTGAGGACTCTTGGCTACCCTCTCCCAGGGCATTGTCTTCTTTCTGGAAAACCCTCTGGTCTTTTACCAGGCCAATGGGCAACCAGAAATATAACTTGAGCCTCCTTAGGGAGGGAATTGGAAAGGAAGGGAGTTGCAAAACAGGGCTACATCTTTCTCCTCTGGAACCAGTGAAATGAGATGCTTGCTCATTCCAGTCCTTTCACGAAAGCCTTGTCTCCCAAAAGGGGTCTGGATGTTATTTCAATTTTGTTTACTCCGAGGTCAGACTACATGCAAGGCACACACAAAAAAGTGCCCCTGAACTATTTCATGCGTCAAACTAGGAGATTGCCTGCATCTACCAAACTCATTTTTTAAAAGGTTATGATGTGTGCATAAGATGATGTGTAAACACCGCTCTTAAGTACTGTGAACCGTTGTCGTTACTCGTGAACCTGTGCGTGCAGGTGGAGCTGCTCCACGGCTTTCGAGGTCTGACTTCGAAGGGTTGTTTGAAACTGCCAAGCTTTAGACTTCTCGGTGACGGTGAGCCCTTCCCTCAGGGACTCCTAAACACTGAATACTCTGTTTCCCCGAAAATAAGACAGTGTCATATTAATTTTTGCTCCCAAAGATGCGCTAGGTCTTATTTTCAGGGGAAAACTTATTTTTCCTTGAAGAAGAATACGGTACACATCTATTGTTGAACCAAAAAAAGGAAATTTATTACCTGTATATGGTATGGTAGTAGTTGTCATCACAAACCAGCATAACCAGACAAACTGAATCTTACCGTATTGAGAATTTCTTGTTACTACCATTATTTCCATGTACAACAATCTATGGTACATTTACTCATTTTTCAGTGACAGTCATGTCATCATCTTCTGGAACATCCTCATAACCATCCAAACCCTGAATTTCCTGGTGAATTTCTTGTGACTCCATTTCTTTCAGAATCAGTGGATTAAAGGTGGGATTTTAGTGCCATCCAGACGAGTTGCCAAAATACAGGAAACAGGTGCACTTTCGTAAGCAGTGGAGGTGGGGTACCTGGGGAGGTACCCCGCTGTTCACTTGTTTGAGATGATTGGCCCATAAACACTGCAGTTTCACCCATAGCAATCATGTTGGAAAGATTGTATTTAGAGAAGTCAGCATCATCAATAAAAGACTTGGATGCACGTGCTCGCTTAATAACTGGAGCATCTTCTAGCCTAAACAATGTTGTGGATCTTCTGAAGACAGTTCACTTTGCTGAAGGAAATTATCCAGCCAGCGTTGTGATGCTTTGAAGTCTTCGGGGGCTATGTCAGACTGTGGTGC